TTTTCAGACAATCCAAGAACACTGCAGCAGCTATGTAGAGTGAGAATCCTTGAACTCTTGGGAACATCACTAATATTAAAAAAAGATGAAGTTCTTAGAGAACTTATTCTCCCTGATATTCTAAAAAAGTTCTTGATTCATGAGCTATAGCTAGAAAAATTACAAATGTCTAGATTTCTTTCATAAAGGTGTATATATGTATATTATCAAACAAGTGTTGTGTAAATGTCACCTTCAGCCCATCAGCCACCATCCTTTAAGGCAGATATTGTTTTGTATTTGTAGTATATCATAATTTCTACATATGCATTTGGCATCTGAACAATTATGAAACGTTTCTGTTCACCAGATCACATATGATTCATGTGAATATGCATTTGTACCTACGTTTCAGGTGTATTCTTTCACACAGGCTTACATCTTATATTCAGTCACTCAACAAATGAAAGTGTAAATAAATCTTGGAAAATTCAAATGCATGCCTCAAATTTGTTTTATTGAAATTACCAAAAAATATTAAAAAGTGAATAAAATGACCTGATTTAATGTGATCATACATGATATGCGTTGGTTACACAATGATAGTACAACAGTGTACCAATGGAGCCACAGATATCAAATCTATTAGGTGTACTGCTCAACACTTAATTCAGAATTGTCAGTTGGGGCAAAACCATTTCTTGTTGGTACTAGATTTAGAATGATTGATACTTGTTAATTAAATAATCTTCAGTGTTGAAAAGTACATGATAGTATGAAGTGGATAAATACAATATCAATTTACCAGTAACCTTTAATGAAATGTGTAGTTCCATTGTTGCATGTTCAGTGGCTATCAAATCCAATATTGTCAATGAATTGATTTTTTTTAATTTTAATGTGGGACACATTTGTTTAATGATTCATATAAAGAGGCTTGTTCTGCAATTATTTATGTAGAACATGTGCAAATGAAACCATTGTTCAACCTTTTTGTACTAGATCAAATATAGGTCCAGAAAGAAAGGTTTTCATCAGTTTGGTGCCAGTGTTTTTAAATATAAAACTCATTTAATTTGCGCACATGATTTTAACTTTTTGTGAAAACTGAATTTTATTTTTTTCTAAACTTCTGGCACTGATATTTTTTTTAGGCCGGAAATTTGTAAAAAATGAATTTAAAAAAATGCACAGTTGTGTAGATCAAAATCTCAGCTTTTAGCTTCATTGACAAGTATTCCAGGTTTCAGTTTCAGCCAGTGGGCATCTTTAACTTCAATAATCTGGACATTATTACTCCTGTTATTAAAACATTTACATGTTACTGTATTTGCTCTAAAATGAGTAATATTTTAACCTTTTAAGCACCAGTTCCTGCACTTTCCCTCAGAAGATTGGGACAAAAACAGCCAAATTGTTTGAGTAAAAAGTGAAATTACTCAAATTTTATCTCTTGGTTCCAAAATTAGGATTCATTTTCAGAAATATTGAAGACAAAGTTTGGTGGTGAAAAGATTAATGATTCAATACACAATAAATGCATTTTGTTCGTTTGTGTGCTTCTATTGAAGATGCACTTCTAATAAGAGCAAATATGGTATCTCAACTTAGTTATAAATCAAGCAAAGAACTCCCGTGTGCTAGGGGTAAAGAATACAATAAAATAGAAATTTAGGATTAGTCTATTAAACAAAGAGTCTGTTGGCTAATACAGCTCAACTCTTCGAGATAAACAGTGTGAAAGCTGTATTTTCCACAGTATTAAAGTCTATAAGTGGTTATGAAGATATCAGAAAATTGCCTAATTTATGCAAATTAATAGCCATTGATTTCAACCATGAAGAATTAAGCTATTTTCTATTACAGTAATTTTCCCATTACCACCTATTTACAGATTTTCTTGGAAATCCTACAAGTGGTAAATTGTGGAACAGCTCATTCCTGTAACTTGGGTACCCCGGTAATTAAATATTGACAGATTTCAACTCTAAATTAGTCAAGGTTTGTAAATTTAAATCAGTCCAGTGATTCTTCAGATATCATTGGGGATAATGCTAATCAAGTGTGCATTATCCCAGAGCATCTCTATGTATGTACCAAGTTTCATTGAAATCTGAAAAGAGATTTTTGAGATATCTGTAACACGCACAAACATCAACATAATTTGTCATTGGGAAACAAATGGAGACATAACAAATCAAAATGTTTTCACCAAAGAAAGTATGAATAAAATCGGCCTACAATAAGAACTAGACACATACACAAGTATTAAACTCAATTGTGGTCAAATCAAAACTTGCATGCATATATATGAGATTATGTACAATTGTCTTTGTACAATGTTACATTCAAAGAAATTACCTAGATGGACATACAAAATCTGATTTTAATATACTTCTTTTGAATGGAGACTTAAAAGCGTGCATACACAAAATATATTAAGGAATTCTATGAATATTTACTTATCAAATTAAATAATTACTACTGGTAATTTGAAAATGGATTTGGTCATGTCTATTTGTCTATGACCTTTATATATGTTGATTCTAATAAATAAATCAAACTCTGAAAATCCTATTCAAATCTTAATTAGAAATTGTTGAACTGCAGAGAAATAATTTTTGAAACTTAAAAATGCCAACATATATTGCAATCTTCCCTTATGAAAATGCATGGTTACTGTCTTGTGAAATGTCATATTTTCCAATGACAAAGTTGCTGCAATAATTGTATCTTATAATTTTAAACATCTTTATCAAAATGGTTGAAATAAATGTGGGAAATGCATGTTTAAGGCTTTGCAGCTGATATCTCTTATCATGCAAGGTCTTTTTCTAATTGCAATAAATGTGTAATCTCTTATCATGCAAGGTCTTTTTCTAATTGCAATAAATGTGTAATCTCTTATCATGCAAGGTCTTTTTCTAATTGCAATAAATGTGTAATCTCTTATCATGCAAGGTCTTTTTCTAATTGCAATAAATGTGTAAAGATTGGGTTGGATTGATGCAATATATACAAGTAGTTTAACATGCTGACACAGTTCACACGATTTCAATAAGATTTTCATACCTTTGACATACACTTCTGCATATCCACATTACTTTCTACATTCTGGCATATAGGCCTGTCATGGTTTTCAACAAGTTCCAGTTGTAAACCAAAATTAACAATTATGAAACAAGTCTTGGTGAAAACCCAAACATGCATGGTCAATTTTGACCAAACATGTTTGCCCAAATTGTAAATGCCATACATAACTAATATAATAACAGAAAACATCATGCAACACATACAATAATTATTTAATTTTTTTTTTTTTTTTAATTTTATTGCAGAATCTTTTACGAGATATATAGTCTGATCCAAGATAAAACATAGACTATAGCCATTTATTTTGGGGATGACTTGTATCTCGGAAGAGATTGAGTAAATTGAATTTATCTAACTCAAAATCTGGTACATCAAATCATTTATGGATATACATGTATTTTATATATGCATTTTATACTGAAGAAGTATTATCCTATTTTTCAAATAAAAGCACTAGAACATTTTATTACGTCATGCATGAATCTTTAAACATGATAAATGCAGACCAAAATTCAATGACAAGTTCCAGGTACTATCAACCCTATGTACTTCATAGAAACACTTAAAATTGTGTGATTTTTTTTTTCTTTTTTACAAAATGGCCTGAAGAGAACTATGCCTTAATTTCCATTATACCAAATATGAATAGTATGTAAAAATAAATAAAATGGCCACTGGTCTGTCATTTTGAATCAAATCTAGAAACAAAATGATGTGTAATACCAAGAACAAAATTAATCTATGAGAAATGATTGATAACATGTTAAAATTTTTATTTTTGTATGTTTTCTTTTTGACAAAAATAGTCACCAGTCGGTCAGAGGTCAACAAAATGGAAAAAAAAAATTGACATGCAAATGTAGAACATTGAACAAAACTCAGTTTAGGCATGTCTGAGAAATGATGTTGGATGCACAAACAGAATCCAAAACAGAAGCTCCGGTTTCTAATCCAACCCTATTTGAAAGGACACAAATCAAACTTGGGAACATTTATATAATGTCATGCAATTGGGCCTTCTGATTGACTGTGAAGCACTAGATAGATTGTAAGTTCACTTGGAATTATCCTTTTTCAAACCATCAAAAGTAAAACTCAATGAAAATATGTTTGTTACATGGCTTGCACGTAATATAGTAAAAAAAATAAATGCTATTGACAGTATCAATTTATGTATCACATTATTGCAGTATCTCTAGTATCTGTACTATGATGTGACATGTTTTCTAAGAAAAAAAACGCACATGACTATAATAACAGCAACAGGAAAATAGTCAACACTAATGATACTTGTACTATTCAAACTATGTGTATGCAAGGTTGAGGTTCTACAATCAGAAGAGTACAAAACTAAAGTCCCTACAATAGCAGCCAGGTGCTAAAGAAACATTTTTTTGAAAGTAAGGCAAACAAATGACAATTAACAAACCCATCTAAAGCAAAGCTGACACACGATTTTGTTGTGGCAAGTGCCATTTTGGGGCACGAACTGGGAGGCTCTCTCGCTGTTCACGACTAGTTCACACATACGGTAGTTCTTGAATGTGTGCCCATCACTGACCACATTGACATGAACTAGCACGACGAGTTCACGCATAGTTTATGCACTTCCCGCACGTTGGTTGGCATGGCACCGTCCAAATTGCACAAACTCATCGTGCCAACCTGGGCATGCCATATAAAAAGGAGGCCTCCCCAACCCCTGGTCATTTTTGGATTGGCTGTGTTTTTGCTTTGTTTTAGGCATGTTGTCTTTGTGATATAAGTTGTTTCTTCACTGGAAAGGCGAGCAGTGTCTAGGAAGCCCTATATATACCCCTGCACCGGCGTGAGCACCACTGTCGCACAGTAGTCGTGAACTGCTCGTGTCATCAATGCGTGAAGTGCACATGGTCGTGTCAGTGGGAAGGCACGGCCAGGCTGCGACACGCACCAATTTGTGAACATGTCGTGAACTACTTATGAACTCACGTGAGCCGTTCGTGAACTTTTCATGACAGTAATGCATGGCGTGCACTGGCACGCATCCTCCTGACGAGTTCACAAAAGTTTGCACATAGTTCATGACCCGGTCGCTAAATTTTGTCATGACTAAAATTTTGAACATTTCAAATTTCTCGTGCCAGCAGTCACGACAGGTTCACTCGCACTTCACGACACGATTGCGCACAGGCCTGACTTGAGTCGTGCCAATGCATGCCACAGAATCGTGTCAGCCTTGCTGATTTCAGAAAATCAGTCACCATTTTGTGTCTTGTTCTGTTTCTAATCTGTCTTTAAGTTAATATATCTGTTTTATACTTTGTCATTTCATTTTGTCTGTTACCCTGTCTTTTGATTATCCCTGTGTGGGAAATAGTTTATTACTATTAGCAGTGACTTCATGTATATAGGTTTCACACCACAACTAGAATGTGTCTCTATTTTGAAAACAATGATTTGCAAGTGATATGACGTATTTCAAACTGTTTATGCAATCAATATGATACCACAATGAGAAAGCCTGTAAATGCAATTTTAACAAAAACAAACTGGTGTTGAAATGGTGGACTGATACATTTAGAGTGAGTAGTCAGCTGGGTCAACTTTTCTAATATTGCAAATATTCAGTACTTGAACCAATACAATCAGCTTCTTTTTTGTGATCTGTGCTGAATATATGTAGATGCACCACAAAGAACTTAGAGATAAAGATAGCTTTCAATAGTTTATAAAGTAAACAAATGCATAGCAAATAGGTGGTTTGCATATTTGGCTTTAAAAAAACTAATATAAAGTGGAACAAAAAATGTTTTGTTTGAACTTTGGAAGAATTGGTGATTTATCTTTTTCTTGAACGACAATCTATAGCTTTATGCCCTGGTTTTTGACAGTTGTAGCACACTATATTAAGTGATGTTTTAGGCTTGCTCTGTTTCTTTTGATTCTTCCTTGGTACTGCAGACAGAGTAGGAATGCTGACGTTGATGTGGGTACCATTACTCCCCAGTGAACTAAGGTTATGTCTGACTGCCATGGAGTAACTTATCTGTGCATCACTACCAATGGTCAATAGGTCGTCTAGATGAGAGGAATGGTTACCAAGTGACATACTTTCTAAGCTTCGTTTTTCCATCATTTCCATTTCAACTTCAGTCACTCTCTTCTCCAACTGATTTATTTGTTGCATCTGTAAATGACAAATGAGTTTATTATTCTCAAAAGTGTATGTGAATAAAATATATCGTTATTTCACCCACAACAATTTGCAGTCTGGCATTATCGGTCTATGATTGTAGGAAACCTGCAATGACTTGTGGGTAATGGGGGGTTTAATACCAAACAGCTTCTACAGCAAATAAAACATTCTTTGGATTTGAATGAAGCAGCAGGATCTTCTTAAGTAAATTTATAAATATAAGTTTTATAGGGAAGAAGGCCACACAGCCCTGTAATGTAGTCCCAAACATGAATATGACGTCAAAAATGCACTATGTGTCAGCACTAGCAATTGCAATTTGCACTTACAAAAAAAAAAGTCAGGAGAGACAACAGTGACATAAAATGTCACCTGACACAATAAAATATTTAAAAAAAAAGGTACTTGGGGTTTGCAACTACGGTGACATGATACCAATATCCCGTTTCAATCACGCTCTCACATAACCGTTCCAATGCACATGCCCGAGGTAACCAGGATACTGGGATGTCCAGGTGGATCAAAATAGCTGCTCACGATATGACGGATTACGATAACTATATTATCTGTACATTTACAATGTATTACATTTTTTCACTATGAATGTGGTTTTATTGTTTTATTACAAACCGCTTTTGTCATGTCAGAAGGTTGTAGCCCCAGTCTCGCTATCTACGAGATGAGACTTGAATGAGATCTTGGCATGATGTCACCATACAGTACTATGCGCGTTGTAAACCCCAAGTAATGTACCTCTGGTTTTATAAATATTTTCAAAATTTCCATAAAACGCTTATAAAACACTTTACTGTATATAAATGAAATAAATCTTACCACGTTATCATCTTCTGGAGACATCCACATGTTGTCATCACCTCTACTTCTACCACATGCACCAATGTTCTCTTCATCCATCACATCATTCTCTGTCATTTGATTGGCTTTTACAATCAGTAAATGCGACAATAAAACCAAATTATCACTGGTGACTTTTATATCGATTAATCCCAACAGCTCTTCAACAGTACGTCCAGTCAGTGTATGGATTCTTTCCTTCAAATCATCATCACTTAAACCTTTCAAGGGTTCACTATGTGTGAACCGTGTCAAATGTGGTGGTAGTTGCCCATAATCATTCTCTTTCATTTTTAACAGAACTGATGTAATTTCTTTCCCTACCAACACATCTTGGGCATTTGATTTTAATACCACTGGTTCTAGAAGCAATTTTGTAACAAAAAATTCATACTTTCTATAATAGCATTAGTGTATTGAAAGATGTGATGAATTACCATAAAAAAACTCTATCATACAAAGGCAAACAAAATTGTTAACACGTATGGATAGTAAAAATGAATGGGAAACAACACTATCAGCTGAGAGTGTGTATAAATAATATTTGAAAACATTCATCACTTTCAATGTAAAGTGTTCCAAATCCTTTTAAAAATGTATTCATTCATGAACTCTGTTTTTCTGAAGGGCAGGAACAAAAACACCTCAATCACAATGAACGTATCACAATATGAAGAATGAATGGCATACATTTTTATTTGGGTTGCATTCAGTAACATTTCAGAAGAATCATGAAATTCTCAGGTCAAAATTGATTTCTCACCTTGGTGGTGTTTGACACCATTGGTTAATTTTATTTCATTCTTCACTGTATCCATGTAATCTGCTCCATCTTTCATCATATGCATTCGTGATGAAGAATATAAACCCTGCTGAATTTCATCTTCCAGTTTCTGATTTTGCTCTTCCAGTAAGTACAGATCTTTTCTCATTACCTTCACAACATTACTAAGCTCTTCCATTTTCTTATTACATTGTACTATTAGTGTTTGCAAGGCATTCTGAAACACAATATGAACAGATCTTTGATGAGAGGAATACTTCAATGGTTGCATTAGTGTGTTCGTTTTATGAAAAACTGCAGTGGCGATGTTTAAATTTTTATTTTATATTAAAATATTTCAATGCTACAAGATATACGATAAAAGTTTAATATTTACTATGTTATCGCCATTGTATTAAAGGTTGATTTGGCCCTGAAACAATAAGCAGACATTCCCAATTCTACCATACATGATATGCACTTCACCTGCCAGCATTAATGCATACAGTGTTTGCCCCATGATGGGTGGAATAAATGTAAGAATAACTGTCTCTATATAAATCTAAATTAACAGCACTTTAAATATGGTTGGAAACTATGTTGCAATCAATATTTGTAAATGAAAAACAAAGTCATTCTGAATTACTGTGAAATCTGTAGTAATATTAAAATGGTACAATGCAACAGAGGGGATGTGGCTTCTATTAGAGCATCTACACATATGAGAAATGATGAATTTTTGATTCTCAATTATTCAAAAAGAATGGGTGTGACTTCTATTAGGGATGCGGCTTCTAATACAGATTTTACATCAACATAGCAATGTGGCATTATCCAGAATATCTTACCAAATCTAATTACATTCATTACTATAAAAGTTGAATTCAGAACTTGTTACAGACCACTTTCTAAATCACAAACTCTAGAAAAGAAGCGTTGCTTATGATGTAGCATTGTTAATGCTTCAATAAATGACACAACAACTCCATGATGTGAATCGTCTGTGAATCACACCATGATGCTGAAGCTTGTGGTACCTGATCGTACCATCCACCAGCAGAGACTGTACAGGCGGGCGTCATGGCTGGTGTCCCCCTGGCGGAAGCCTGCAGATAGACTCACAACCCCAGGGGGATGGACAGCATGGGTACCTGTGTAAAGTCTGCTTGGTCTGTGGTGGAAACCCGTTTATTGCTAAGGTTGTTCATGAGTAGATAAACATGTTTGAGCAGTTACACTTTAGTGAGATCGGCAGTTGTTTAAAAAGTTGAACGGGTGGGAGGTCTGCTGAGACGATGTGTGCCGTACAGTGCTGCAAAACTGACTGATGCTTGAAGGGAATATGGGCACTGATAAAGCAAATCTGGTGTTAATGAAAGACGAAATGTGAGCAAATATTGCATGAAGCAAAATGTGGCATGGGAGGTGTGAAAATATGAAAGAGGGATGCCAGCTTGGTCAGATAATAAATTATATTCATACTGTTTTGATCTGTATCATTGAAGATTAGGTTTTTCTTTTTACATGATGAATGAATGCACAACCAAACATAGTTTTTGATTAGAACGACATTGCTTTACCCATATACGTCATTGTGACGTCGATAGAATCATTCTATCACTAGACGAATGGTGTATGGGATAGTGGTTGATATTAATGTCATCAGAGGAGAGCTGTTTGAATGTGACTAGGTAGTTAGAACCAACATACACATGAAAACAAAATAGAGACTTACTTACAACATATGTTAGTGTAATCAGATTTTGACAGCTGTAGTAATTCAAATCAAATTCACATTGATTAGTTTATCAGTGTGATTTTTTAATTACCAAAACAGAAATGTAAAATTTTCTTTTCTGTATTAATAGAGAATTATTCTATTCTATTCTATCCTATTCTATTATATTCTATTCTATTCTATTCTATTCTATTCTATTCTATTCATAAATGAATGTTTCTCTAAAGTTACCTATGTACATACAACATACCATTTAAATCAATAGAGAATTATTCTATTCTATTCTATTCTATTCTATTCTATTCTATTCTATTC